GTTTGTTGTTTTTTTTAAGGTGATGACAAGTTTTGTTTTGTTTTTTTCCTCTAACCCGGTGCCTGTTAGAGGTCTCACTTCCCAGTTCCCCGGGAAAGGCTCCTTTGGACAGCTCAGGTTCTCTGTTCTCAGGGTATCACATCCCCTCGGCGAACCTTCTCCTTCTGTTGCCTGTTTGTTCAGTGTCCAAAGCGCAGCGGGGTCTGAAATAAACCCCGCACGCCCCAACCGAGCGGTACTTTAATCATCGCTTGTGACTAAGGGTCACTTGCTCTGACTAAGAGTCGCAGAATAAATCGACTATCCTCAGTAGCATGCATGGAGAATGTGTTTTTAAAACAAAACAAAACTGAAATTGCTGAAGTAAATATTTCTTGGTAATTTCCCTGTTTTAGTTTTGTATTAAAAAGATTTGCTTAGGTTCTGCCCTTTCAACATCATTGGGATCCAGGCCAGGCTGGCTGTGTGCTCCAAGAACTTAAAGCTTTTATCCTTTTAACTACCACTGTTCCTTTAAAAAACTTTATTTTTGTTTCACTGGCGCGTCATTTCTTGAAAAAGATAAGATCTTTATTGCCTGAGCCTAGCTTGTCTCCTGTTTATGCTCAGTCTTTCTTGCACCATGGTTCATATCAGCATCAGTACAAAACCGTGTTGTTGCTTATGCTCAGATAAATAGTGACATTCAAAAACTGTTTGCAGTCTTTGTAGAAAATTGATGCCACTGAATCATGTGGAATGTAAAATTGTCTGGGACTTAGATCAACGGTGCTCCTGGCATTTCTTGGAGCCTAGAGAATGTTGTGCTGGCGCTGGGGCTGACTCTTTCTCATTGTTTCCCGTGCTGGGATTGCTGTCTCCTGGGAGGAGATGGTATGGAGTGCTCCTTGGGCCTCTTCCCCTCTGTGGGAAAGTTACGCTAGCATGTATTTTTCATATCTTTAGCCTCAGCTTTCTCTCCTTTCTTTTTTTTTTTTTTTTTATTTTCTTCCTCTTCTGTGTTTTTTTTCTTCCTCGTTTTGGCCTTAACTGCCTGTGTCTCTGGTGTTGGCTTAATTGCCAGGTTAGTTAGTCAAAGGTCCTAATTCAAGTGAACCCAATTTCCCTTTATTCTTTATGCATATATCTTCATATGGACTTATTACTAATGAGTTTTGCAATGTTGCATAGTAACTAATTTAGTGATATTTATTTCACTTTGTGTACTTTCACCCCTTTCTGTGTCTTGAACTCTGATCTGCTTGATATGGTAATAACTCTAAGGACAAAATAAAAAAGAACTTAATTTTATTCTCATCTGACTGGAGATTTCTGTTGGTTTTAGAGAAAACAAGGTCAGTCTAAACCTTACTGCCTTTATTAAACAAAAGTAAAAATACATAGAATATTAGTGTCTGATTTTTTTCCAGTTTCACTTGCCTGTACACATTACTGACGGAGCAAATGTGGCAGGAGCTAGCTCTTTACTTTTTTTGTGTGTACAATGCCCTTTGTCATGAGAACCATGGTTGTGGAGCTTCTATTAATTAATAAGCAAGCTGTATTCTTTATCCAAAATACAAGAAGTGATTCTTATTTCTTTTTGACTTCATAGCTACTGGAGCTGATAATGACCTCTATATAAACCAAGCCATAGTATTTATTGAAGATGCAATACAGGTAAATATAATTTGTTTGTTGGCTATTATCCTTCCCATGCTGGATATTTGTCATGCAGTCTGCTAGCTTTTAATTTTTTATGTGTTCAGGCAACTTCCACATAACATTGTCTTGATTTACAAAGCAAAATCAGAATTCCAAATTCCTGTGGTATGCAAGTTTAGTGAACTTCTGTCTAGGAGAAACATGTTTTTCCACATAATGAACTGGGTAGTGTCTTCTCTTCATGGTTGTCGAAACAGATGCTGGTTTGTGGGGTGGTTTTTCATTTTGGGTTTTTTTCTGAGAGTGACTGGCCTTACTGCTAAAAGAAACTATCTGAGCAAACCCTGTAATTTGCCTCTATATCCGACCACTTGCATAGCTTAGGAGCTGGTAGAGTTTAAAGCTAGTTTCAAGTGAGAAGCTGGAATTCTTTTGAATTGAACTTGGTGCTTTTCATTCTCTGTCTCTCCTTTACTGACTGTTACTGCATGTTCCTGGATCCTGTTATCTCCCAGATACTAGTTGAAGGCAGTGGAAATGCTGGAGGGCAATTCTTGAGCTCTCTTGCTGCATTCAGATACCTTTTGGTTGGGAGATTTCTGGGGATCAGATATATTTAAGGTACGCACACCTTTCTGGAAGCGGATACTTCTCAGCGAAGGCAGAATAGCAGCAGCAGCCCAGGAGCAGCTGCTGAGCAGGGGCTGAGCAGATTTCAGAAAAAGTAGGCCCGTTCTGAAGAGTTATGGGTAATTCTTTGAACTTAAAGCATGTTTTGTTTCAAGAGCTAGGTTGAGGTCTCTCAACCTATTCAGAATTAAATTATTTGCATCTTATGGGTTTTTGTAAGAGAAAGACAAAAGAAGATCCATGAATGGAATGAATGCTGGAAAGGTAAACTAAATGGGTGGACTGTTCTGGCAAGTAGAATAGGCACTGAATTACTATTAACAGATGCTGTTATTTGTAATTATGATAATGCTTGCTTTATCTGACTGCCACACAGTTTGATTATCTGAGTGCCTATGTGGTCTTTACATTAGGAAAACTTCATTAGAAACTTTCCCATTGCATGCATGTAGGCTACAGCTATGGTCGTTGGTGACGCTTTAATAATTAATAACGTAGACAATAATTTCTTTATCTTATTGTGAAACTGGAATTGGCTCAAGACTTAAGCTTTGTTAATTAGAGCTCGATTTATTTTGGTACCTTGATGTTTGTTTCGACACAGACTGAAGGTAATGTTTGAATTATGCTTTTTGCCTTCTGCTTCAGTATCGATCTATAAATCACCGTGTGGACTCCAAATCCCTGTGGCTTTATCGATGGTACTATTCAAGAACTTGCCAGTGGTAAGAACCTGGTATTATTTTTTCCTTTTTTTGTTTAGGAGTAAGACTTTATAAAAAAATTATTCTTCCTCTCTTTTTTGTTAAATAATTAGCTAAATGTGCATTTCTTCTTATAAGAACTTACTGTAGCAAGCAAGTGGATTGACTATATGTGAACATGATAGAAGTGGAAAGCAACAAGGTACATGAAAGTGTGATCATGTGGATGGCTCTTTGGCACAGCCATAGGACTGTTGCATGAATGGGCTATTTGTGTGATTTACAGCACTGTGTGTTTTCTGGGTGTCTATTTCTAAACATATTAAATAGTAGCAAGATTGTTTGCTGATGTTAGTTTCAAAAGAACGCTGCCTAAGGTTATTTGTTGGTCAGCAGTTACGTTATTCTAATGCAGGCAACAGCATGCCAATCAAGTGCTGTGTTGTGATCTAACCCATTTGTGTTAAATATGGTATTATTAAGCTTGGTTTACTTGTAAGAAAATTGCTTTACCGGAAGTATTTTGTTACTCATTTGGCTCATGTAATGGGTTTGGTGTTTGTTGTTTTTTTTCAATTTCATCTCTATCCAAACAGGATTTTGAGTTTAACCATTACTGTAATCCTGGCTTTGGCTTTCGTTGAAAAGCCTTCTTCACTTACTATCACGTCAGATGTACGATACCGCCTTCCTGCGTGGAATCCTCCCTGTGGCCTAATGGAAAGCATTGAGCTGCTTTGCTTTCTTGTGTTCTTGGTTGATGTATCCGTGAAGGTGAGCATCACATTCATCTGGTATTGAATGAAATACTAGGTGTGTTGGGCAGCTCGGTCGGTATAGTCAGTGTGGCTTTTCTCCACTTTGTATTTTGGGAGAAATGTCTTAGAATTGTTATTAGAATCTTGGATTTGGATGATGAGATTGCTTTGCTGTATAAAAGCCTTACTTTTTGGGGAAATTAGAAAGCACATTTTCTGAATTAAAAAAATTGCTGCTTATTTTTTTAACCTAGGAAATACAAACTCATGTTTGTGTGGAATAAGTGAAATAAATTTTGTGAAGAATACAGTTATTTTTAGCTTAGTTTCTTCTATTAGGCTATAAAAATTGGGGTGTATCATAATCAAATGTATACTAGTTTATTTAAAACAAAATGAAAATGATCAGAAACTGAACTTTTCTTTAGATATTTATTTCTAGAAAAATCTTTTTATGGTTGTTAAATGGATGTTTTGCTTGCATTCAGAGGATTACTCTCACACAGACTGTGTGTACCTCTCACTTCTGCTGAGCTTTATTTAGTTCTTGTAGAAAAATTCTCTGATCAGTGCATTTTTGTTTGAATTTTAGGGAGCTCTTTATGAGCAGCGGTGTAAAACTACAAATACTTGGAAAACATTTGGTGCTGACTTGTTAGGATATTGGAATTTATTATTAAAATAAGTTGTTTTGGTTTATTTTGGTTTTTTTTCTCCCCAGAGTTACTTAATTGGATGGGAAGAATTTTGGAAAAATAAATGGCTGGTCGCTTATATACTGACATTAATTGTTTCCCTTGCTGATTGGGTTGTATCTCTGAGTTTTTTCTGCACAGAGGTAAGAACAGAAACAATCAGCAACTTAGTTATGGAAAGTGGCAGAGGAGAACCTGCGAAGGGATAGTCAGGAGGGCATATGTGATATATTGGAGAATTAAGGGGGGTGGGTGAGGTGGTTCAGTTTGGTCTTGGATAGCTGGATAATACGCTGAAACACAGAAGCTGTTTGGTTAATATAACTTCTCAAGGGATTGTGTTTGATTCTTAATATAAGATGTGAATTCATCAGTAAAATTAAGTATCTGATGTGTTGGTTTTTGCAGAATGTGAGAATAAGAAGAATTCTTCGTCCTTTCTTTCTCCTTCAGAATTCTTCTATGATGAAGAAAACATTAAAAAGTATCAACAGCACATTGCCTGAAATGGCAAGGTAGGTAACAGTGTAGAAAATATCCTTTCACAACTAACCATTAGTATTCTGGAGTGTGATATCTGAGTAGCTTCCTTCTTGATGGTCTATCTAAGTGGTTGGTGAGATCAAGTAGTAATGGATGGAGTATTGTGTTAAGTTTTTTGATTCCTTTAGTCTGTGAAATTTCTCTAGAATGCATGTAATGTGAGTCTGTATGTGACAGATAAGGTTTTTGATGCTAGTTGAGTGGGGTTTTTAAATTCTGTATACGTTACATGAAACCTTGTAAGGGAAGAACTGAGGCATCATCTGGGCAAACATCTCTGCTATGTTTCTCTGAGGTGGCCTCTCAGAGGTGTAAGTAGACACATGTGTACTTGTCTTCCAGTCGTGAGTGCCACACACCAAGATTCCTTTACATCTTCAGAGTACTTTGCTTCAGCTTTTTCATTTCTAAATGGTTTTAGCCATGTATGTGTTAAATTTTACTGTCATTAGAAAAATTGAACTGGAAACCCAGCTGGTGAAATTGTAATGATGCTTTTTGAAAGAGACCTCTTCCTGCGACAGGAGTTGTGTGTATGTACAGCTAACAGAAATCACTGTCCTTGCCTGTTACTTTTTAACTAACAAGTCCCAGGAGAATCAAAGGTATGTGCAAGTCAAGGTGTTGTATTTTGATCAGAGGGTATAAATACGATCCTAACTTGAGAAAAACAAGTGTTAGAATGTCATTGACCACCTAAGTGTCTAAGCTTGGACTGAAGAGTCCTGAACAAGTGTGATTCTTATTCAGAATCAAAACTTAGATAATCTTCTGTTATTGCCATATAGGTTCTTAAAGATACCCCTGCCTTGCTTTATAGGGCATCCTTTTGCATTTTTAGCAAAGGATATTAAGAATAAGATAAAGTTGGTATTAATGCATATGATATGTTTTCTTTCAAACAGTGTTGTTCTACTACTAGCTGTCCATCTGTCTCTCTTTACCATGTTTGCCATGCTGCTGTTTGCTCGAACGAAGGTAACCAATTATATTTATGCTTTGGTAGATCTTGGTGGTGTTTTTTTTTTCTTTACGTGCATAGCTGCTGCATGTCTAGTTTTATAATCAAACTAGTGAAACTTGTTTCCGCTGAAAAGGTTGTGTTACCTTGTCATACTTACTAGGATGAGTTTAAAGTCCATTTAGAGAGATTTAACGTGTGCATAGTATCCACATATAGTGCTGTTTTCCTAAGTGTGCATTAGAAGGCCCCTCAGAATAGGGTTAGAATCTCTTCATCCTTGAGTGAATAATTTTTTCCAGGCTGTGCTTTGCTTCTTCAGTGATAACACTCCTTCCTACTCCACAACTGGAATCCTTCAGTCTTGCTGTAAACTGTTGCATATTATTTTATTAGTCTAGCTCTGCTGCTCAGAGCAAAGGTAGATGTTTCCATGCTAAAGTGTGGTTGACATCTTTATTTGTTTATGGTCCTGCATATTACTGGTGTTGATGCCATTATCACAGATGAGAAATTGAAAGTTTGTTTATACAAGGGGCTTTCTTATGCAATTCTCCAATTTGATTCTTTGAGTTACTTTCTCTGCTTTAGTTGAAACCTTCTGTGCTGTTTGGTGTTCTTAATCTTTTGCTGTTCTTAATATTTTTACTTTTTTGCTCATATTATCAGTTATATCTTCTCTCTTCCTTATCTAGCTTTTTGCTAAGTTTAGTTTCTTCTGTGTTTTCTTATCTTCCAATACTGATATCGCTGGCCATGCCTTGGTAGGTTTTTGCCTGTGTTTGCCTGCATTACTCTGTTTTGTTTTCTGATCTTGTTGGTTTTTCCTCTGTTTTTTCTCTTCCTGCTTCCAAAAAGCAAGTTTGAAAGTTTGTGGTTAAAATCACTTTTGTGTTCCAGTGCTCTTGGTATGTTCCCTCTCCCCTAAACTTCCTGTATCTAATGTATTATGCTCAGATTTTTATTTTTTTTTTGTCCTTACTCTAAGGACAATTGCTGAAGGTAATGCTTTTTATATCAATCAAGGGTGGCTTCGGATTCCTATATTGTCTGTTTGTGACATTATTGTTCTTCCTGGGTCCAAGGTGTTAGCAAGATATAATTTCTATATTGAGCTTCCTGTGTCTATCTTATCTTGCTGTTCTTCCTTATGGTTTTTAATGACTGTTAATAAGTGAAGTATTCTATTCTTATGCATTGACCTATTTTTTTATGCTTTTTTTATACTTTTTTTCTGTTGTAGATCTGCTTGTGTAAGAAATTGATTATTGACTGTTTTTCCTTTCTTCCCACCCCCCCTTCCTTGGTAAGACAGTTTTAGTGATTCTTCAGTGTTTCTCTAACAATGAACATCTCTCTGACTAGGATGGCCAGCAGGATAAGGAGTGGGTGGGCTATTTCCGGAATTTGCCGGATTCATTGACGTCACTGCTGGTCCTGCTAACTACTGCAAATAATCCCGATGGTGAGCAATCTTTCAGAAATAATTGTTGTCTCTCTTTTCAAAGAATAATAGAGCAAGGTTATCTTCAGACTGCTATAACCATTCTTTCAGCTGATAGTTCTTAATACAGTGAGAGGAAGGTTATGTGAAGATTTTTCGTGCCTTTAGTAAATTGATTCTTGCCTTTTTTTGCTATAATTGTATATATATCTCTAAAGTGGAGCTATATAAGAGCTTTTACCAATTGCCAAGAATTAATAGAGGTCTTCAGTTTTCATCTTAAGCATTAAATTAATTTTTTTTTTTTCAATCTGATATAGTGATGATTCCTGCATATTCTCAGAATCGAGCATATTCACTCTTCTTCATACTCTTTACTGTATTAGGTAAGTTACCTCTTGTCTTCAGTAATTTCAATGCACTTTGACTTTGACACTTGTGCATACTAGCTACAGTGTGTTTTATCTTTCTAGGGAAGTTTCATAATAAATTTCTGTTTTTTTGTGTTTCTTCCAATTACTGTATAGTGTTTTGTAAGACAATTGTCCTGGAAGGTACTTATGGTTTGGTTTTTTCAGTAACAGATCATAGGGGAATGGATTTATTACAGTATATTCAAACACTAAAAACATTTTGGAAATCAAACACAAGGAAACTAATCCTTTTAAAATTTTACAACTGATTTAGTATATACATTGAAATTTCTTTGAGAAAGAGAAATGTATTTTGATAATTCTTACTGCCTTTTTTCTCCAATAGGCAACTTGTTTCTGATGAACTTGCTTACAGCAATAATATACAACCAGTTTCGAGGTTACCTTCTGGTGAGTAAAGCATTCCTAATTTCTGTGTTCTACCATAACCTTAAAACTGGGAAGCCCCAAGTATTGAAAGTTTCATGTGTGTATTAAAGCAGTATGCCCATCCTGGTTGTCGATTCAGTTTTAAGATACTAAAGGTTCTTTACCCCTTATATGCTGTGGTAGCTTGATCGCCTTCCGTGACAAAATTACCTGCTTTTATACTTGCGTGTATGCTGTGGATCTGCAACTTTGACTAATATAGGAAAAAAAAAGTCAAACTATTATAGAACTGAATAAGGACAAGTGAACAAGTAGCTTAAACTTGGTCTCTGTGAAGAAAACCTGCTATACTGTTTAAATGGCTATTGTTGCAAATCCTAGCGCTTAATTTCTCTGACTAGCACAGCACCAGAAGCCTTCAAAAAAAAAAAAATCGCTGACTAAATCTTCACATTTTGTATTTTTTACTTCATCCTTACTGTGGTGGGTGGGTGTGATGTTAGAATGATTAAGGCAGTCTGCTGCCAACTAAAAGATGGACTTGAACCTTGTGATTGACTTGTACCAGAAGCAGTTGCCAGTCGGTACAGTAGTTATTTTTGGTAGTGTCCAATCTCAAAAATAGGATCCTGTGCTTACTCTCCATGCAATGCCAGTCATCTGTGGAGTACTCTAATGTGCCTCTCATGTGATTCTCCCCGCTCCATTTTGTGGAATATGAATGTGATGTGTAGTGTGATAACCTCTTTTGACTCAGGTGTCTGTATTGGAGAAGTAAAAGCTGACAAAGTAAGTTAACTTTTGTATGTTGTTGAAGGACCATGCAATCTGTGGTGGTGATTAAGCTCATCACTAGAAGTTCTTTCTCTTTTATTAACACGCTGTGCAATGTTGTTTGTTGCATTATGTGCACTGGTTGTTTTGTCTCCAACTGGGAGTGTGTTCTGGATTTTTTTTTGTAATTGCTTTTGTTTTCTGTATGAGATTGTTCAGCTGCCCCATCTGAGAGGAATTATCCCCCTTTACTTACATAGTCTTATAGTTTATTCAGCCCTTCGGAGAAGCAGAGCTGAGGGTTGGGGGGGAAAGTAAAATATTAGCTGCTCTAGTAGAGTTGCAGAGATGGTGGAGTTTGTTGGGTAGTAAGACTTAAGCAATATCACACAGATGGAATGGCCCCTACCCATTTGTGGGAGACGAGTGTTTGAATGTAATATGTGCAAAGAGGAATCTTTGTTATCCTTTCCTCCTGCTCTTTCTTCCCTTCTTTCTCCATTTTCCTGTTTTCCCATGTGAGAGTATGCCATAATCTGACTCCCCATAAAGGAGCTGAGTTTGAAAGTGGGCACTATGAAAAAAATGAAGCATGGAAACTGTGGCTCTGGGTTTCTTCTTTTTGGCAAGAAGCTGGAGTTGGACAACCTGTCCAAACTCTTCTCTTTGCACAATAGTATGAATTTCTGTGAATACTCGAGCTTTGCCATTGTCTCCAGAATAGGCATGTGCCTATGCAATCCTGAATTAAAAATAAACCGTGACCTGGATGTTTACTTGAACTCCAGAGACTTGTTTGCTTGCTTCCTTGCTTCTCGTACGTGGAGCTCTTCAAGGGAGCGAGGCCTAGGGAGGTCTCCTGTTCTGATCTCCAATCACAAATCTGGGATGTGTGCCAGAGGATCAGTATACTGTCTGACCAGAGGACATAGTACTGCATAACGAGCTGGGTAGCCCTGATCTTCCCCAAGTCCTTCTGTAGGAATGGGCTTCACTGATTCCAGCCCACAACTCTTCCTGGTATTCCTTTTAAACTGTCGAGTGTCTGTGTGGTTGGACCCAGTATCTGGACAACCGGATGTAGCGGCTAATGATGGGGACTTTGGCAGTGGGAGAAAGAAAACAGTATCTTGCCTTCCTGAAAAAAATCTTGGTTGAACAGATAATAGCCCTTTCTGAGGCTTGCTGTAGGTTCTGTCTAAGGGATGGGCATTATTTGTATCATCTAGTTGGATTTGCTTTAAACAAGTGTAAGTAAATTGTCTCCTCTGTTGTGTTTTTACTGTCCAGAAATCAGTTCAGTCCTCCCTCTTCAGGAGGCGACTAGGAATCCGGGCTGCGTTTGAAGTGCTTTCTTCCCTGAAAGAGACTCCTGCTAATGCACAACAGTAAGTGGAGAATGTTGAAGCAGTAGATTATCTAGGAGAAAACAGCAGTTTATGTATTTACTGAAGATCCCTTGTAGAAAAATGGCAGTTTGCTCATCCCATTTATTTTATTTTTTTCTTTAGCTGGATGTGTATAACACTTTGTTTGGGACTCTTATGGGGTCTGTTTTCTTTTTATTTCTACTTCCGATTTTAGCTGCTTTTCAAAAAAGGAAGGAGGCGGGAATGCATTTGAAACAGCTATTTTTTAGCATCAAGACAATTATCTGTTTCAGGGCCCATCCTATTTTCTTTTAAATAGGTCTTATGTCAGCGTTGGGGCCTTACTACAAGTGCTGCAGAAGGTTGAAATGGATTCTCGCTGCAAGCAAGCCATCATGAGAGTAAGAACTGGATTTTCTTAGTCTTTATGTTGGTGACTGTCAAGCCCTTTGAAGGGACAGCTGTGGAAACTGAAATTTGCTTAATCACACCATTGATCTAGGAGTAGTAGCTTTCAGCTCGGCTTTCTTAATGCTGCTTTCTTTAAGAGTGTGAGCAGAGGCCCCAGCTCAGTGTCTGTTTGTGTTTTGGTTTTGGAACATAAGGTGAAACCTTTGCCTAGAGGTTGTTTAAGATTGCTACTTCATTGGTTGGTATGATGAGGAATGTGTTCACCTCTGGAGAGGTATACAGTAATGAAAAGTGTTTTGCAGAGCTCGTTTTTTCATCTGCTTTACTTTCTCTCTGCAAGTAAAGCATTTCTCACTGTGGTCTAGAGCTGCTGTCTATAGCAGCTTCCTTCTGCTGTTTGAAAATGTTTTTTTCCACCTGATTTTAGCTGCCCTGCTCCCTCTAGGTATTAATACTTGTATCAAGCTACAGGGAGAGTGGTTTTGCTTAACTAAAGACTTGATTAATGTCGCAGTTCATGCCATGATTTTCAGAGACTAGAGAAATTATTTGGCTCTAATAGGAGATGTGGAGATTACTGGTGTGGTTTCAGAAATATCATCTAGAAGTAATGTTGCTTTTTAAGAACGACATTGCAGCGGGATTTGGAAATCCATTGTGTGAGATCTGTCAGAACAAGGTGACAATTCAGAGCTGATGATTAATAGCATCAGCAGTTGGCTGGCTCCATTGTGAATGTTGGAAGTGGAACGAAGAAGTATATGTGCATCACTTGCCCTTGATGTCTGCAATAGGGACTGTGTAAACAGAGTTGCCTGAAAATAAACGCCCTGCTCTGTAGTTATGCTGACCTGTCCATTGCATTGTTAGTTAGGAACACAAATCCAAGTTTTAGTTTTTCTTCTTGTTGCTGGTGGGTTTTTTCCATTTCTTTTCTTGCAATGTGTGCAGTTAGTGCTTAGCATGCTATGGAAGTGTCATCTTCATGTTAACAATTTGGAAAATAATTCTATCCTTTCATGTAGTAACTTCTGCAGAACAGTGATAACTCACATAGTATCTTCATTCCTTGGATTGTAACATAATAAAGGCAATATTAGATGCGACTGAAAATTCAAGTATGTCAAAAAGCACGTGCCGCCTTAAGCAGCATGTGATCCCAGAGAGGGAGAGTAGAAAAGATGAGGCAAATCCCACAGTCACGTGGCAGTTTGGTGTTAAAGCAAAGCAATATTGAAGCTCACTCTAGTACCTTGGTGTAGGTTGTATTAACGTCTCTATTCCTAGACTTCTAAGATGGTCTGAGGGTGTTGGCAGTGTGTGAAGATGCACCTACTGCAGGTGTTGATCTGAATGTTTCTCTTTCATGTGAAGTCACTCAAAATGTGCTCCTGTGACCAGCTGTCAGCTGCCCAGTTTCAGAAGCTCTTTGAAGAACTAGACAAAGATGCTATTAAGCAAGTATGTATCTGACAATCGTTTCTAATGTATCATAAGTTGAGTGTGGATTGTGCAAAAATAAGCTGTGGTGTTCTGCTTTAAAGCATATATACAAACTTTGCAACTTGTTGAATGTGGGGTGTGATCAAGTGTCACTTTTTTTTTTAAGTTGTTCATGGATTGCTCTTATAGTCACAAATGGCATTGCTTTGGGGACTTCTATAGCATTAGTTTGGGACTGGCAGGTAGTGTGAAATTACCATGCGTTTTGTATATTTGTTCTGTCAGCATTTTAAGTGCCTTGGCCAGACAAAATAGATGAGGGCACGGTGTATGTATTTTGTTTAACAGGAAGATTCATTACAGGGAATAAGAGTTAGATTTACAGCATAGACTTTCTAAAAAGTGCTGCGGAGAAGTAAGTACCTCTGTAGTAAATTGGTTTTGATGAAATGCGAGGGATTTGTCTTCTGTCAGTCCTATATTAAGGCAATGCATCTCTACTATATGTTAGTCTTTGCAGGTTAATGCTTAGATATATTCAGGCAAAATCTTTTCTCCAGTCCCCGAATGAAGAATTATTATTATTATTAGAATGAAGTAGATTCTTCAAATGTTCAGATGAAGCTGGGCAGAAAGCAGTCTTCTCCACTTGGAGAAAGAAAAGGAAAAAAAAAAAATCCAACTTTTCAAGGGTTTGGAAATGTTCTTTTCTATGTTTGCTGGCAACACTTGTGAATCTTTTAAGGGAGATTAAATGTTGGGACATGGGGAAGGAATGTATACGATTAGTAGTTTGGTGTTTAGTTTACCTGCTTGGGGCATTGGATAGATGTTGAATTATCATTCTTCTTTGCCATTATCTTGTGTTGTGCCATAATCATCAACCCATTTTCTAATCAGAAATGGTCTCTTGCTGCTAGTAGCCAGAGCTTGAAAACACTTTCCCACTGAAATGTCAAAATTAGCACGTGGTCTTGAAGTTTTGCTTTGAAAAGATCTTTCTTAGATCTGAGATTGGATGTGCTTTCCCTCCGTCATTATTAAAATGCTTATGCTTTGTGTCTCAGCAAGTCCTTTGTGTTTTTTTCAGCATCCTCCCAGTCCAGAGTACCAATCCCGTTTTATGCAGAAAATGCAGTTTGCCTTTGGCCATCCCTACTTTGGCTACTTGGGGAATGTTGTAGCCCTTGCAAACATTATTTCTATCTGTGTAAGTAAAAGGGTGGATGGGTTGGTTGGTTTGTTTGTTTGTTTTCCCTTGCTAGGAACTTCATTTTTGTTTTTGTTCTTTAGTCTCTGATAGCCACATTTTGTAGCAAATGTCCTTATTTGGCATGCTTTAGTGGTGCAAAGTCTTAGGAGAGAATACCTGCAGTTAAAAAATATATTCTGAGATGCTTGAAAATGTCTGTGCAAAGCAAAAAAGACTCTTTTTGTCCCTGTGCTTAAAAATCTGTTCTGTGTCACAGTAAAGCAGTGGATTCATAAAATATTTCTTGTTGTTTAAGGTGGTTTTGGTGATGGATGCAGATAAGCAGCCATCTGAAAGAGATGACTTCTTCCTGGGGGTAAGATGCAACAGTATTGTTCCAGATATTGCTGTTCCCTGAGGTGACAGTTCTAATCATGATTTTTATTTTTGGGGGTGAAGGCTATCAACTGCTTCTTCATCCTGTACTATCTGCTGGAAATGTTGCTGAAAATCTTAGCAATGGGCTTGAAAAGATACTTGTCATACCCAAGCAATAGATTTGATGGACTTCTAACTGTAATTTTGCTGGTAAGCTTTTTGTTAACTTCTATATTCCTGGATTTGTTGACTATGATGATTAGGAACCACAAGAGCTAGCAGAATTGCTTTATATTCAATACTAATATGCTGAGTTAAATAGCATGAGCCAATGCTGTAGTTTTCAGTGGCTTGAACGTGCTGGTGGCAAATGGTTCTCTTAGGGTCTCCTTTCTGGAGGCAGGCTTTTTCAAATAGATGGAAAAGGTGAACTTTCTTATAAGCAGCCTTTTTGATGTTTGGAAACATTCGGCTCTTGGAGTAATTACATAAGGAATTCTGTTACATAGCTCAAAATCACTTTGTTTTTTGGGAAAAAAAAAAGTGGCAGAAGATTATTATCATTATTTGGGAAAAGCCTGACACCATATGGCAGATGAGGCCAAATTCACAGTTAATGTAATTCATTGTATATCCTTATGTGTAGCACTGTTGAATGATGTGTGCACATTGGACTAAATTGGGGAATACCTAGTCAAATATGACAATTCCAGAGCTTTTAAGTGAGTCAAATTAGCAGCTTAAAGCTCTTGAAAATGTTTCCTGTCAAGAAACTTAGGTAATTTTGAAATTACAAGATAAGTTTTTGACTTTGTTTTTTCTTCCCTAACTAAAGGTTTTAGAGATTGCAACTTTTGCTGTGTATGGATTTCCTCATCCTGGTTGGTATGTAATCTCTGTGAACTGTTGCATTTTGCTGCGTGTCAGGGGTGTGTCAGGGGAATAGACACACTTGTTCATAAGTGCTTATGTCATGCATGACATTATTATTGTCAGCCCAGCTCGTAATTTACCAAACCTAGTAGAATTTTTCACCCTTGTAGTCACTAGAGGCTATGAAATATGCATAAGTGAAAGAAAATTATTTTTTAAATTTCATAGAAAAAAAGTTGTTTTGCTGTTCTGAGAAGGATGCATTTTTATTATTGTGTATAATAATACCGTAGCAGACCTATGCTTATTGAGATGCAGTAAGGAATTTGGTACAACATACACAGCCAGCTACTAACCTAGTATGTTTCAGTATCAGTTTGTCCATAGGCCCAATTATATGAGTTCCTAAGCAGCTGGTGAAGCACCTTCAACCCCTCCTGGTTGGTGGGGATTCCAAACCTGGATGCAGTCAGTCACAGGTTATAAAGAGTGTCTACATGAGGAAATAAAACTCTTTTTTTCCCACCCCCCAAATTTTTTAATATGCCATGTTAACCAAAAGCTGTGGGGAACTTACAGTTCCCTGCAGACTGGTAGATTTAACTGTGTCTTTCTGTCATGGGCTGTTTCTCTGATTTGTTCTTTTTCTTCCATCTTTCCTAGGAGACCCGAATTCATGGGCTTGTTATCCCTGTGGGATATGGTGCGATTGGTGAACATGTTAATTGTGTTCAGGTTCCTGCGGATTATTCCTAATATGAAGGTGTTTGTTTATCCCTCCACACTTCTCATTTCTTTGTTGGTCAAATTATAAATGTTGTTAAAGTCTTTTAGAATAACATGTAGTAGATTGAAATTCTCTTGCACCTGGGTGGGATTATAACTCTGTTCTGATTGTCCAGGCTATTGCACAGGACCTCACAAACTCACTCTCTCTTTAGCTGATTTTCTCTGTTGAGGAGGCAGGGAAGTTCTGTCAATGTCACTGCAATTGCTACTAGTACTCTACATTGGGCAAATACATCCAGAAACACTTGTGCAGCTTCTGTAGTGCTTCAATCTTAACTAGATGAGTGGGTATGGTATCCTTGAAGAATTTAGGAGGCGATAGACTTGCTTTCTGCTAGATACTGCCAGACATTTTGGTCATGCAAAGGGTTATCTGGGATGAATCACTTGTTCCACTTTCCAAGTGTGGGTATTTCCACCAGAATACTTGTACTTGAATCTGAAATAACTTGGAGTTGTTTGTTGCAATCTTGCATTTAGAGTTGCTGGAAAGCTAAGCCCAAATTAATGTCAGGTGCAGGACTTGTATCGTAGTTCAATAAATGATAAATAACTACATGATGTAATCAGAGGCCAGAATGTCAGTGGGAAGTGTAAACTAGAAACGATGTGGATCAAATATGAAGCTGTCCCTCTGGAGCTGTGGGGTGCTTATGATTCTTTTCCTATTCTGGACTTACTAGGCATATAGCCTTTTAAGTCGCAGTGCCTGTGTATATTTAAAACATATCGTAATGTCGGCATATGCAAGGACTATGGCATTGCTCATTCATTTTAAGTCCCTCATGGAAACATCACTGTATAAAAGATGTCCTGTATTAAGATATAGTTCACTTTCCTGGTTGGTATTTCTTTGTCTTTTTAGTAAAAATAATTTGATACAGATTGGAAGTGTGATGAATGTCATGCATATAAAATTCTGCTTTGTTTTAGTTCATGGCTTTGGTTGTTACTACATTGCTGGATCTGGTGAAAAACTTGAGAGCCTTTGCAGGAATCCTTGTGGTAAGTCATGATGCGAGATTGTAATTTCCTTTTTTATAGTTAGCAGTATGATAAGGGTACGTGATCAACGAAGTAAACAGGGTTCCTTGAAAATCACTGTGAACAGTAACATTTCTCCTTAATCAGCAAGTTCTTCTCCAGCGCATGTCTTGCAAAGCCACAACAAACTACTGTTTTGTTACGGGCTGCACAGTGACAGCGCCTCATTTATCGGTTTCCTTTGGGAGTGCCTTTAACGGATCGTTTGAAACTTCCTCAGGGTGCTTGCCTCAGGCTAGATATTCTACTTTCAGATAAAAATTCATCCGATGCTACCAGTAGCCTAGTTTTCCTTACCCTGGCTTGCTTATGTTAAATTATACAGACAAACAATTCTAAAATTGTTTTCAGTTGAGAAGGTCTTGAGATGGCATGTTTGGATGTGATTTTCAAAAGCCTCTGCCATCCTGTTTTAGGTGTGTCTGTGTAGAGCACGTAGTCTGTAAACAGGTGATTAAACGAAGGATTACAGTGCGTGATGTCCATTACATAAATACTCCATTTCCCAACTCTTTGAGTTGCTGGCTTTGCAATTATGTCTTCCTGGCATGGCAAATGAATGCCTGGGTGGCTGTTTTTGTTGCTGTGTTTTGTTTATGTTTTGTGGTTGTTTTTTTTTTTTAGGGTACCTTAGTTTGAAGTAATGCTTAGAGACCAAGGATTTGCTGTGTATTAAGTATTGTCTAAAAAGTTGTTCTAGTCTATATCCTTAGCATGCATTTTACCCAGAATGTCTGGTTTTATCATTACTAATCCCTGCTTTTATCTGTAGGGGAGGGGCCTTAAGTTGCAGGCTGGAAAGTTTTATGTTGCAATTTGAAAGTAATGTATTGGCTTGGGGAAAGCTAAACTAGTAGCAACTTGGTTGTGCTATGTAAGTCACACTTGCCACTGGAGGTACTCTTGACAAGTTAGCCTTTAAGTATATTTTGTGAGCCTAAATTCTAATCTTGCAGATGATAGGAACACCTTTAGTGTAATGAAAAACTTTGCACTGCTCAATTTGTTACTCACTTTGTTCCTCAAAGCTGTTTAAAGGCTGACTGCAGCTTTGCTAATTTTGCCAGTTCTTGATTACATGTGTACACCATGCTGAAGGAGTGCAGGTTTGCTTGTCACCACTGTCAGAGGCTGGTAGGGTTGTGTTGTGGGTAGGTGGGGAGGCAGTGATTGACACTGCTGCTGCTGGATCTGACAGAGCCCATAGGTCAGAGCCCTGCAAGAGGGCAATTATGGGGTGAGCTGTTCCTGCTTTACACTAGGACCCTAAAGCTGTGTTGCTACTGGCATGGCTGCACCTGGGCTGTAGCATTCTGCTGGAAGCTCTTTCATTCCTGAAAGACATAGCTAAGATGGCAGGAGCCTGTAGCGGTATGCTTGGTTTTATCTTGGGGAATTATACGTTAGTATTTCAGTGTGGTTTCCCTACCCATATATGTAAGTTGTAGTGCTCATGAAGTGGTACAAGTGTCTGCTGCTGATTTTTCTTAGTGCTGGGAGTGTGAATTGTAATTTTGCAGCGATTGTCCAGCAAGTCTGCCACGGTGTTTGCCACTTCCATTAATTTAATTTGCTTTTACTTGAGGCTACGTGAAAGCTGCCACTGAGCTTCTACCATAGTGAAGTCTGACTCCGTTACCAGCTGATGTGAAACATCTTTCCTAATGTTAGCCTGGAACATGTGCTGATAAAGTAATTGATTAAAACATTCACTACCTGAGAAATTAGCTAGATATATCTTTTTCAAATAATAAAATTAACTTTATTATTGTCAAGCCAGATACCCCATCTTCTGGCAGGCTGTGGAATGTCAGCTTCAACTTACACTGGTAGTGCTCAGTGCTGTGGTTCATAGGTCAGGGCAGTTTCTGCTCCTTCCAGACTTCCCTCTGGGGTCTGTTTTGTAGCAAAATACAGAAATATGCCTAATGACATTTTCATGTGAAGATTCAGAAGACCTAGGACAAATGGCTCTTTACTCAGAGGATATATAGGTTAAATATATTTATATTATATATAAATATATATAAACCTATATA